GGGGGGGGGGGGGGGCTGTCTGTGGCACGTGCTGGCTGCCAATGGCGTTGTTCGAATTTTTGTGCTTGCAGCGCCGTGTCGATGGGCCGGTCAAGTGACTCTGTTGTCTCCTGTATAGAGCAGCACGTACGTGTTGGACAGGAGGTAACAGGTGTATCATTGGGTCTGGTTGCCACGCCATTCCACGAGATAGAACACATGCTTCACTTTTTTTCGCCGGCGTCCGAAATGTAGCATATCGTATCGTATCGTGTTGTGCCATATTTGGATTGTTTGTATGTGTTTCTTTTGATTGACATCGACCGCGCTAATCGGCTGACCACTTAAAAACGTTACAGTCTTTTGTGTATTTCTTTTAGAGGCATCCAACCTGTCAGCCAGTCAGTGTCTGCGTGGTTGGGTCATCCTTCTTGTCTTGTCGTCTTGTCTTGTCGTACAGTATTGTCCAGACAGAGCACAGAGGGTTTCAGCACAGCGGTGATAGTCTATACATAGTAGAGCTCACCTCCTGTTCTGTTGGGAGTCCGTGTGAACACCGCAGGGGGGTGCAGGTATTACATGTCGTCGACCCAGGAAATCTCGCAGCAAGAGGAGCGGCGGCGTGCGTTTTTTGGAGACTGCTGCGAGCCTTGTTATGGTGTGTCCAGCCGATGAGAGAGTGGCTTCGGGACGCGTTCGGTTGGTAGTATTAATAGTCTTCATGGAGGGCCGGGCTGGACGGGTCCACAGTTGTACATCCTGCTCCTCAGAGCCTCGCACCCACATGCCATACGCAACAAGGTGCACTTTTTCTTTTCTTTCTGTTCGGCGATTGGTTGAAGTTGCCGTTTCAGACGCGCACGGGTACTACGTACATAGGTAGGTCTTGTTGGTTTCAGACACCTCTTGTCGGATATTGAGTTGATACTTGTTGTGTGCATATGGTTATATTGGTGGTACCAGGTACCGTATGGCACCGTACCGTATGTACGATGGCTTAGGTTTGGGACGAAGACATCCCATCCCATCCCATCAGACCATGGGACGGGGTGTACTGACTGTTGTGTCGTGTGGCTTTCCACGAGCAGTGCTGTTGTTGTCGCTGTCGGCGATGCCGTTGGGACGCATACGTATATATGCAGTGCTCGATAGTCTTGTCTCATCTCACCAAGCGCTTTTACTTGTTTGGGTCTTCTTTGTTGTGGTGTCGTTGCGTGTCTGTCATCTGTTGGTCTTGGTCTTGGGAATGCTGTGGTTGGTTGGAATTTGGCAACAAAACACTCTCAATTCATCAAGGTATCATGTTTTCATTCATGTGGGTTGCTTGAAGCGTTCTAATACTTGGACGGGGGACAAGGACGTAGGGTGGAGAAGGAAAAAATATGATGCGGGGGGGGGGGGGGGGGGACATGCGTTTTCTTTGGGGGGTTTTCTTTTCTGGTGGGGGCCCCTCCATCAAAAATTTTTGGAAGGTGGCCGAAGATTGGTTTCAGAAATTTTCACAAAAAAAAAGTACTACCCATGGGGGGGGGGGTTTTATAAGAAGGTGGGGACC